AGAGTGTACAGTACATACTTGTATTTGGATAAAAACAGTGCAGAACTTTCTACATTTAGATTCCGAGTGAAATACTCACACTGATGCGATGTAACAGTTATGGTCATTGTGCACAGCGGGAGAAAGATCTTCAAAGTCTATTAACAAAAAATGCCGCATTTCATTTAATATCTACGCTGTTCACTTTGCAGTTATATTAAAATTTCAAAGTCAGTATGGCAGATTACCGCAAACTTCCATGACTACCAAGGAAAAAGAGCAATTGTTAACATTACGTGATGAAGTAATGCAAGAACTTAATCTTGACGTAACTCTTCTTCCCGATGAGTTTGCTAGGTAAGTGTTGTTCAGTATAATTTTAAACAGCCATTTCCTTTTTCAAACACATTTATAAGCTCTCATGTCAGGGTTATCGATTAGGGCTGTAATCTCCAACACCTGTTAGGGCTGAATACTACAATTATCAGTTGAGTGAGGCGTGTTGCAGGGTCTTCTCCTAGCTCCAAGGGTTTTTCTCTGGGGGTGGGGGAGCCTCCCATTGAGAAAGGACTCATCAGAAATTTTGAAAAGAAATTTTGTGGGCATGGCTTGAAACTTTTTTCATCCCTTAGAGGTACAATTCTAAAACAACACAATCCTCAAAGTTATCTCTTGTCATATTTGTTTTGGCTCAATACCATAAAAGATACCACAAATGCTCCCGCTGTGGACCAGGCTGAACACCCTAAGAGGTAACAAAATGGCTTTTCCAACCCCTAAAAAGGATGACGAGCACCCGGGTCCATTTTATATGAGACTCCCTAAGAAAATGCCAATTCGCTCAGCTGTGTGCCTGATCAGTGACCCTTGTACATAGCAGAAGGTAATAGTAGGTGTCATAGAACCTTGACACATTAATAAAGACACTTTTTCAATTATTACTTGTTACCTTTATTTATCATTCAAGACATAAGCCTGACATTTGACATAAACTACAGATCTTGCTTATTGGAGTTTACAAAAAGCAGCATGCAAGTGATGTGATGAAGGAGACAAATTACTTGTACTGATTGTTTCAATTTGACAGCCACTGTACGGCAGAAGTGAGTCCTGTATGTGCTATTGTTGGAGGCATTGTGGGACAGGAGGTTGTCAAGGTAACTGAAATATGTTTTAGAAGTGAGACCTTATAATTAGTTCTCTGGACTCAAGAAACTATTGGGGTCTTTTTTATGTCATTTGGGAAAACTCTACTCTCACAGTACCTCCCTCCACACAGGGATAGGAGTGGATGTTGCAGGAATGTTGTAAGGAAACGAAATGTTGGGAATACAGTAAATACCCACATATATGAACAAGTGGATTAAGAACATGAGGTTGAAACCTGACTAATAAATCACCAGTCCATATATAAAGAACTGATTCAGCCTGCTAACTAAAACATGTTCTTATATAAAAAGAAAGAGGAAATAAGAATATGAAAGCACTGTCATTATAGTACTATGGTGTGCTGGACGATACAAACTCTGAGAGCCTAAGAAATGTTAAAACTACACAACAACTTGATGTTGAACTGTTAACTACATATTAACCAAGAGTGAGGTCTTAGCAGGAAAATCTCAGATCAAGACCTTGCCTCTTGATCAGCCTGAAATACTGTAGCTTTAGATTATTTCTTGTTAAGACTTACGATTACATTTTTTTAAACTTTTCTTTTGTTAACTCTAACATTCCATGTGGGGCATACCATAGTTCTTTCAGAGCCTCCCTCCACCCCTGCGGTCTTGCGCTTCTGCTGTAACTTGATATTAGTTGTTTTTTTTAGAGTTATTTTAGATTGAAATGCTCCTATTAAATTTTCTAGATCAAAGATGAAGCCCTATAATTTATATTTATGTGTCTGTGCCCATGGGAAAGAGGGGGGGCTAGGAAGGTGCAAAAGAATTCATAGCATGAAATTTTTTATTTGGTACTTTAGGAGGAAGTAAATGTCCCTACCATTTGTTCATTTTGTTGTTGTTGTTTTCCTTTCTCATAGGCTGTTTCTGGGAAAGATGCTCCACTGAACAACTTTTTCTTCTATGATGGCCTAGAGGGTCATGGAACAGTTGAATGCTTCAACTGATTTCACATCTGTTTTGCGTGCACATGTGTTACCTTGTTAAACAGATGAATGGTGTTGGATTCATGCACCTCTCTGAAATGGACTTTTGGAGCCAGCGTTGGTTGTGGTCACTTTAAGACAGATCACTGACTGTTGCGTCACAAGTGACTTTCCATTTGTATAAAATGTTAAAAGTTCAGTTAAGGTGGCTCCCTATAGTTTTATTA